TTGCTGTCCGCAAACAGCCGAAGCTGGGTGAGGATAGGTCAGTGTGGGTCTGTTGCAGGGAAGGTGAACTGGGAGACTGTCTCCTCTTCCCCTCCCCCCCCCCATTCTCTATATAAACCATCTTACATTTTGTCATGAAAGTCCGTGTGGGAGTCTCAGAAATCGGCCCATCTCACCCCTCCCCAGTGCTCTCTGGGCAGAGGTCCTCACGGTGTGTGTGTGGGGGAAACAGAGACTACCACTGCCGGAGTGGATCTGACAGGAATCAATCTCGCTCTGACAGTGCCAGCCCCCCAAGTTTAAGAGGATGGTGCCAGTTGGGATCCACGGTGATACACGGCAGGACAAGACCCCGAGAGGGCAGAATCCCCCCTGAATGAGAGGGCTACATCTGTTCCCCGTTAAAACCTCCCTGCCCTCTCCTAAGGTGCCTGCGATCTTTCCCCCTTTGCGCTGATAGATCGTTTCCAACCCTGAAATGTTTCCAGTCGGTTTCGCCTAATTAGCTCAAATCTTCATTGACCGGGAGGAAGTGTGATTCGGGGATCAGGAGCTGGCCAGAGGCGCATCTGCCCTGTTTGTTGCTCTGCGAGACCTGAGGCAAATCACTTAGGGCCAGATTTATAAACGTATTTGGACACCTAATAATTCCCATTTGAAATACCTTTAAAAATCTGGCCATTCATTAGTCTCTGTGACTTTTCCCGCCTCCTAGCTCTAGCAAAGACTTAGAATCATAGAACTGGAAGGGACCTCGAGAGGTCATCTCATTCTAGTCCAGTCCCCTGCACTCATGGTAGGACTAAGTATAATCTCTAGACCTGCTCTGTCAGGTGTTTGTCCAATGGGTTAGACTCTAACCTGCTCTTAAAACTCTCCAATGATGGAGATTGTATTTCCTCCCTAGGCACAAGACTTCCCTTGCACACGTCTCTCTGGGCCAGATTTTCAAAGTTAGGCAATTAAAGTTGCAGATAGGCATCTGGTGGGATTTGCAGGAGCACCTGAGAAATTTAGCTCACCCAGAGACAACTACTTTTAATAAATTTGGGTGCTTAGGATGTTGCCTAACTCCCAATGATTTCAATAATTTTTGACACCTCGGTGCTTTTCAAAATCCCAGTAGCTGCCTAAATACCTGTGATAAGGTGGCTTTCTGTGCCTCAGTTTCCCATCTATGTAATAGGGACAATAACACTTCCCTACTTCACAGGAGAGTTATGATCACAAAACACAGGAAAGACTGTGAGTGAAGTACTCAGACACTATGGGAAATAGCGCGATAGTAATGACTGAAATGGATAGGAAGAAATTTCTTTTCAGGGCTTTTCTGCAATGGAAAATTAGATATTCAGCTAAACTATTTTTTCCATAAAATATCTATTTTGGGTATTTGGCTGAAAAATATTTTGTTTTTTGGCCAATTTTTTTTTAAAGTTGGTGATAATTGAAAATGTTACTTGTCAGAGTTTTTTCTTTTCTTTTCTTGAAGAAAAGTCATAGTTTTCGGGGGGAGGCACAACCCATTTTCCCACCCAGTTCTACTGGAATCAGACCAGATCTCCATCTGGTCCAATCCTGCTGTTATCTCGTCAGTGAAAACCAGATTCTGCTCCCATTTACACTGGTACAAATCCAGCATCACATCACTGATATCTGCAGATTAGTTTAGATACTTGTCACTGTGAGCAGGACGGGACCCTGGCAGTTTCACCAGTGATTTCACTGGGAGCAGAAGCCGGCCCTAAATTAACCATATTTAAGGTTATTTCCAAGTTCCCCTGAGTAAACTTCTTTATTTTCTGCTTCTGAAGCTGATCTGAGCGCCTCACCGCCCAGACTGATCAAATCCTGAGTTTCGACTGATGACAGTGGCCAGGCCCAGAGAGATAAACTCACCCACCCTCCCTCCACCTGACACCAGCCCTCATTTATCAGCTAGTCAATTCTCTCATGTTCCGCTGCAGGGCGGTAGCTGCAGCAGCACCTTGATCTGTTTCCCCCATTTAGCCCCGAACCACCCCCCTGTGCCAGCCGCTTTCATCTCCCATCCCCGCTGGGTGAAACCCGCATGCAAATCCCTGCCCCTTGGGTTCCTGTTTAAATACAAACTCCTGGTTCTAGGTGCCTCAGTCACTCCCCAGACACTGAACTGCCCGGTCCCGGCTGCCGGGGAGTCTGTTCATCAATTCAGCCCACCATGGACTCGTTCTTCAGCTTCCTTTTCCTCTTAGCCACCCATTCCTGTGAGTACCTGTGGGAAGGGGTAGGAAAAGTTCTGCTTCGCTTGTACTGGAGGGAGAAATCCCCTTTGACTTCAGTAGAGCAGGGGGAGTCCCCGGTCAGTACTCAGAACAGCATTACAATTCCTGAAATTCCCTCCTTTCTGCAGGTGTCCATGCACAGATCCAGCTGGTCCAGTCTGGCTCGGGAGTGGTGAAGCCCGGAGAGACCCTCACCCTGACCTGCACCGTCTCGGGTCAGTCCATCACTAGTGGTCACGGCTGGCACTGGGTCCGGCAGCCTCCCAGGAAAGGGCTGGAGTGGCTGGGACGGGGATATTACAGCAGTTCCACCTGGTACACAAACTACAGCACATCTTTTCAGAGCCGAATGACCATCTCCGCTGATTCCTCCAAGAACCAGGTCTTCCTGCAGCTCCGCTCCCTGGCAGCTGCAGGCACCACCATGTATTACTGCGCCAGAGAGGCAATGCTATTTATTTGCAGCACAATAATAAATGGTGGCGGTGTCTTCACTGGTCGGTGTATTCAATACGACATAATACTCATTTCTGGAAGTGTCCCTATATATGAATAATCGGTTTTGGAATGATGGGGGAAGGTGTGTCCAATCCATTCCAGTTGGCTCTGTCGAGTCTGAGGGACACATCTCCAGTCGTAAGAATCAGTGATGGGGACACCAGCCACAGCACAGGTAAGCTGGAGTGACCCTGAGGGTTTCAGAACCTGCTCTTCATGGCTGTGTCAATTGCACCCGAGAAAGGACACCTGGGAAGAAAAGGGGAGGGAGAATTCAAAGCACAAGCAACCACACACAAGAAAGAAGGAATCCATCACCCAAAAAGATGGAGTTATGTGTTAGACAAATAACTACGTCCCATTTCCTCCTGTCAAAACTCACAGGGCCTCAGGATTAGTAGGCCAAGGGAAATGATCAAAGCTTTCATCATTCTTTTACGGGAAGATTTAACAAGAATGAAGCTGTCCATTCAAGAGTCAGATGGACAAAAACCTCTGGGAGTTTCTATTTAAAGGAGAAAGCCAATTGGCTGATTTGCATGACGTATACATGCTTCAGTGGCAGATATAAAAGCAACCAAGTGGTTATTTTGTCACTACCTCTCTCCTCTCCCTTCTGTTCTTTAGGGGAAGCATCTGTGTAGCTCAGGAAATGAATGTAAAAGGAAGTCAGAGTGGTCAGTGATCAGAGAAGGGGGACTGGGGTCTCCTGGATTCTATCTTCACTTTTGGAAAGGGAGCGTGGTCCAGTGAGTTAGAGCAGGGGAGCTTGGAGTCAGGAATCCAGGCTTCTCTTTCCAGCTCCGGGAGGAGAGTGGGATCTAAGTGGTTAAAAAGGAGAGGTGGTGGGGACTAGGAGCCAGGAGTCCTGGATTCCTTACCCAAACCTACGAAGAGAGCAGAGTGTAGCGTGTTTGAGAATCTGGGAGTCAGGACTCCTGGGTTCTATCCCGGATTTGGGAAGGGAATTGGGTCCAGTGGCTTACAGAAAAGGGGCTTTGTGCGCCAGGACTCCTTGGGGTCTATCCCAGGTTTGGGAGCAGATTAGTGAGTAGAGCAGAAAGGGTTGGGAGTTATCACTCCTAGGTTCTGTCCCCAACTCTCAGGGGAGAGTGGGATCAAGTGGTTAGAATAGGAAAAGGGGAGTTATGAAGCTCCCCATCTCCTGATTGAAGCACTGAGTTTATTTCTGACCTGGGGAATGTCACTTAGAGTAAGATTTTCAAAGATACTGAACATTCCAATTACTTTAGGCTGGGGTTGTCCCAGAAACCTGGCACCTAACTCCCCTGTGTCCCCTTGGGAAGTCAAGCACTATCGTGGTCATTTAGATATCTTCATGCTTTAAGGTAATGGGAGACTCTGAAGGTACAAATGCCTCAAGCAATGTGCACTGCGGGGAGCCACAGAAATCAGTACAATTCTGTAATGCAGGGTTAATTTTGCAAGATACAAGGTTGGAGGTGGAGGGAACCTTGACAGCGTGTGGGGTGGGGGGAATCAGAGAAAGAGAATGGATGGGTTTTTTCCTGTGGTCCACACGCAAGTGAAAGTCATATAAATAGCCCATTTTTACTGTCTTGGAGCTGAGCAAAAGACACCTGTGTTTCTTACTCTTTCAGGTATGACTGCTTTCGCTCTTGCATTAATTTCCGTTAACTTAAACACATATAATGTCTGTGACCCACCTAGAAAGAAATTCACTGGCGTAGAAGTTACTGGAGTTATGTCCATTTACACGAGGAGAGAATTATTTATATATTTAAACACACATAATTTCTTTTCTTGTCTTTTCTTTTCAGTTGTTGGACCTAGCAGCACATTCGGAACACCTGGGTGTTAAGCAGGAATCTAGCCCGCTGAAAGCAATGGATTTTGAAGTAAACTGGGAATCTGTTAACAGAAATGGGTATCTTTCAAGAGATTGCCCATAAATAAATAAATGTAACGTAAAATTCTTAAAAGCATCTAATAAATTAGAAGCCTAAATCCCAATTTTTAAAAAATGACATGGGGTAAAAATTTCAGATGCACTCAACAATCTATGAACCCAGACCTCATTTTTCAAAAGTGACTTTAGGATTTAGGATCTTAAATCCCCTTGATTTTACATAAGATTTAGGGAAACATTCTCAAAAGTACCTATGTGATTTAGTTCTAGGTTTTGAAAGGTATGTAACTGAAAAAAAAATTGCTTCTGGGGGCTAAGGCTGAGGCCTGTTTTTGTGCTAGCGTGTATCATGGTGGTTTATACATCCGGTAGGTGCTCCTAGCACAGTAGTATGTTGCTGTGTCCTGTGGACTCAGGCTGTCCACTCGCAGGTAGAACTCGTCCTTGGAAGGGTCCACAGTGATGGTGGTTCGATTTTGAATGTCAGGGAGATAGTGAGTGTTCCCATATCTGTCTATCAATGCCAGCCACACCAGCCCTTTTCCTGGGGGCTGCCTGATCCAGTGCCACCAGTCTCCACCAGTAGAGAGGGCAGAATCTGAGACAGCACAAGTCAGACTGAGGGACCCTGAGACTGCCACCTCTCCTAAACCGGACTGTGTCATCGTAAACCCCAAGATGGGGCCTGGCAAGAGAGGGAAAATACATTAATGAAAGAGGTAATAAACCAGCAATCAGGGCTGGTTTTCTCAAAGACGTACACCCAAGGTCCCATTGAGACTGAATTTGAACTGGACACCTAATTCCCTGAAACCCAGCCCAAGTCATTATTTCCCACAGTCAACCCCCAAATACTCACACATGTGGAAGGCTGAGATGGAAATGCAGAACAATAATAGTTTCATATTTTTCTTTACTGGAGAGACTTCTCTGCCACGAACCACCAGCTCATTTCCTTGGGACAGACTCAGGTTCTGAGATTCTGGAGTTTCTCTTTAAAGATGAAACCCGGGGGAAGTGATTTTTGCATACAGGTTTCACAGACAGAGTATAACACATCAAATGGGGCTGGGCCGGGGGAACAGGTGGGTAAATCCAGAATCTCAGCTCCTTGTGGGTGTACCTCTCAATGGGTGAAACTGACTCCTGTGCAGAGGGACAACACAATGCATATAGGGAAAAAATCACTGGAGTTGTGTCCACTTAATTCAGCAGAGTATTTATTCCTTTACCCCTATTTTGAAAGCTTAAGTGATGCACAGGACTTTTACTAGCCCTCTACACCAAAGTTAATTTCACCCAGTGTCCCACACAGAAAGAAGTAAAAATTGGGCATGAATTCTGTTTTTTGGGGGGTGAATCAGAATTGGGCCTTTTACCTATAGAACTTATATGTCCCCATGACTGTAGTATCTGAGCTCATCAGAGACTTTAACGTATTTCATCTTACAACATCTCTGTGAGGTAGAGAAATCATGTTATCCTCATACAGATAGGGGAAACTAGGCACGAAGGACTAGATTTTAAGGCTATTTAGTTACATGAACATGAAGATGGGCAACTAGCAGGATTTTCAAAAGTACCTAAGCTCCTACCTCCATCATTAGGTGCCTAAATACCTTGTAAACATCTGTCCCAAAGAGATCAAGGACCAGATTTTCACACGTATTTAGGCAATTAAAAAAGGAAATATGCGCCTAGTGGTATTTGAAAAAGCATGGAGCAGCCTAACAGCTTTTGAAATCAATGGGAGTTAGGTGCCTTTTGAAAAATCCCTCTGGGTACCTAAATACCTTTGAAAATCTGGCTCTAAGTTTTCTACTGAAAGTCTTTCCCACAGTACAGAATCCAAGGAAGGTCTCCTGGCCCTCGTCCCATGAAATGTAATCCTGTTTTTCAGTGTCTCAGGCTAGTGTCCCCAGCACCAGAACATCCTTCCCCTGACAAGGATAAACAAAGAAGTTGAGATTCTCAAAACTGCCTAGAGGCTTTGAATGCTCAATTCCTTCTGGAAAACAAGTGAGTGTCCAAATCCTTTAGGCAGCTTAGAAAATGTCAGGCTGAAACTTTAACAATGAACATGAAAACAAAGGAGGAAACTGCACAAAATAAAATGATAAGCAAAATATAAAGGGGCTGATTCTTCTCTTGCACACATCAGTTTTACCGCAGTGGAACTGCCTGGACTTTAATGGAGTTGGTCCCGACTCACGCCGGTGTGGGTGAGAGGAGAATCAGGCTCAGTATTTCAAAGACGTGACACTGGGCCCTTTGGAATGAATGGGACTCTTCCATCGGGAGGAGAATAAGGAGATAAAAAGAATAATTGGAGAGGGTGTGAATGGAGCATAAGGGAACTGACTGTCAAGAGCAGTTGGGCACCTAATTCCCATAGGCTTTGACAATCCCTGCCTGTATCTTGTGCTGCATGCATCTCAGTCCCATTTTTGTAGTCAGTTTAGGGTGGGATTTTCCAAAACATCCAAGTCTCTTAGGAAGTTAAGGTGAGATTTTCAGAAGAGCCTAGGGTCTTTCTACATGACAGCGCTCAGAAAAGTTATGATTATTTAACTAAAGTTTTGACGAGAACATGCATTAAAGCCCCTCTTGTGGATGCTCTCATTCAGAAGAAAAGTGGCTCTAATCCTTTAACGGGGGATTTTCCTGAGTGTCCCTATGTACACAAGCACAGTCAAGCAGCACAACAATATAAGTGTCAAGACTGGAATCCAGGACTTGTGATCTCTAGTGCCAAGCCTAGACTAGAACACAGATCTTCTGACTCCCAGTTAGCTGCTCTACCCATTAGGGGTGACTTGGAAATCTCGCCTCCCATACCCTATCTTCAAAATCTGTCTATAAACGACCAAATCCCGTTCATCCTGTGGCTAGTTTAAAGTCAAAACAAAAAGTACAGCGATATAGGCTAATATTGGTGAAAACAAGTAGTTAGAATCTCTCTGTGTCTCTTGCCTTCAGTTTTCCCCAACCAACACACAAGAGCATACACACACACACACCTTACCTTCAGGCAGCACACATGCTCACAAAACCCACACAGCTGCATCCCAACAACAGCAACAAGAGCTACCCATGCAGAACCTGCACAACGCACTCTCCACAACTCTACAATACAGATATACACAGCCAGACCAACATCACACATGCACACACTGACAACACACACAGTCTATACACTTCCAGTGCAGACACATACACAGCAGCACCTCCCCAATAGTCATAATGTTTAAATAATTTCTAGTAACATCCAGATGGATGAATAGTACTTAAAACCAATCACCATTAGCAGCATTTCTTCTCATTTTAATTGTTTTCTTACACTGACAGAAATTGTTCTCATGATATGTATGAAGAGAGAAGCTTCTAGACTGGGGATTTTCAAACAACCCCCCCGTCCCCAAAATTAGATATCCAGCTCCCATTGGATTTGGATGGCATGTGGGCACCTAACTCTCTTGGGCACCTTTGAAAAATCCCACTCCTACTTTGTAAGAACACTAGTATCTTTTTAGGGGAGACAGAATTTTTCTGGAGCCAGGGAATACAAACGCTGGGTAAGCACAAAAGTCAGTGTAGGGGTTCTTTAGCTCCAGCACAGTAGAAGCCCAGCGGAAACCAGGAGGTAAAGAGGAATGCAGCCCTTTTAGAAAAGCTCATTCCCCAGCCCCAGAGACACCCTCTCCGGGTAACGTGAACCTATTCCCATTTCAGGAAAGTCCCTGCAGGACTCTGACTTATCATCGATTCACATGTCCACATGGCAGCTGTGAGAAGTGCCCTGGATAAGCAGGTAACATAAGCTTGGTTCTTTTGGATGGTGCTGGAAGGCAAATCTTCTTCTGCAGGCAGAGTGTGAAAGACTGATAACGCTGCCTTTGAATCCTCTTGCCTGCTCCGGGTTTTGTTGTGTTTCTATAGCTTGGAGGTTCCTGTCCTACCCACCCCCTGACAAGTAAAGTGACAGTCAGGGGTCCACAAATCCTTTAAACCCCCAACATTCATTTTATTTCTCAGACTTTCCCTCGGTGATGTTCATCGCTACTCCCCTATCGCCACTGCTGGGGAAAAGCTTTACAAAGAAGCTTTTCCCGAAGACAAGTGAGTTTGATGCCAGCGAGAACAGGGATCCAGTGGAGGGATGAAAAGAGCAGAGTGTCACGGTCACAAACCATGGACAAGGGAAATGACCTTTGCAAAGCCGTTCTGAAGAGAGGTGGGCACGATTGCCTACATTTTCTCTCTTTCAAAGCCAATTACGTAGTCAATACATGAGGTGGTTTTTGGTTGGCTGCGCATGTGACTATCAGCCGCACCATTGAGAAGCTGCTTCCCCTTTTTGCACAGGTCCCTGCTGGGCTCAGTGTCAGTGTGTCACTGCCTGGCGCAGTAATAGGCGGTGCTGTCTGCAGCTGTCAGCGAGCGGATCCGCAGGTACAGCTTGTTCTTGGAATTGTCGGTGGTGATGGAGATTCGGCTCTGGAGGGGGGGATGGAGCTGGAGGTGGAGTAATACACATTGTTGTGGCCCAGCCATTCCAGCCCTTTCCCAGGAGCCCGTCGATTCCAGTGGCAAGCGTAACCGCTACTGGCAATGGAGAAACCAGAAGCGGCACATGTCAGCTGGACAGAATCTGAGGGCTTCACAGTCCCAGGACCAGACTGAACCAGCTTTACTTCAGAGAGGACACCTAGAAAGGGGATACGGATTCAAAACAGTATTAAAGCGAAGGTTACAATTATATAATATACAGGTTAAGGAAATAGTGTCTGTACATCTGGGTGTAATAAGGCTTAAATTATCCAAAAGTTCAAAGTTTGGTTTGAAAGTCATACAATACAGATAGCACATAATCAGCAACAACCCACATTTAGATTAATAAATTGAATGATACAGTTTAGGGATTAGCATCCAAATATTCGGGTTCATCACTCATGAAAAGTTATACAGAGAGTTGGTTGTAGAAAGCAAATATAACAATGAGTGGTGACTGTCCATCAGTAGTTGAGCGTTTAGGATGGGTTGTTGTCCCTCAGTAAATACAGACCACCAGAGAAGTATTTCTGTTACTTTCCTGATTTCGCTTCTCAATGGCGCTGCAGCTCCTCCCTCATAAATAGTTCACTCTGGAAGAAGTGCATCCCCTTCCGACACCCCTCGAGTAATACCCCTCCTCATAATAAATTACAAGTTCCCCATATTCCACCCCTCCCCCACTAGATTCTCACAAGCGATCAGGGTAAGGAGAGGAAGTAAAATGAGAAGCAACTGTTCCATCTTCCCCCCAGACTATATAGCACAAAGGAAACATGAATTGACAGCGCAGGTCCAGTAATTTATAACGAGTGGGGCAGGGGGTGTCTCCATTTGAGTCGGGGAAGTCAGAGAGGTGAATTTGCATGAAAATTTCGAAACCTCTCCATCAGAAATGAAAAGGAGCTGAAAGCTACCAGCTCTCGGGGTGACAGTGACTCATGCACAGGGAGACCAGGAAAAAGGTCTATGAACCTCTGACATCCTGCCCCTTCTACTGGGGAGAGAATTCTACAGTCTCCCACACCGCTCATTGTGAGTGAAAGTCACTCGTGTGCCCACACCTATGCGTCACTCAAGTCCCTCTTTTGGGAGCATAAATGGGATTTGAGTG